TCAGGTAAGGTGATGAATTGTGGATTTTCCTACTTTTTCTCATGTTTGATTCTTTCCTTGTGGGGCACGGTTGGGTTGGAGGCCAGGGCAGCAGTGGCCCTGGGAGTTGAGATCTGAGGGCTTCTCTAACAAAGTTGAAAAGATAAGAAATGGACTGGGAGATAACCTGAAATACAGAAGAAATGCTATTCAGGCAGATTTTAGGAATAAATTCCAGGAACAGAAAATGCATCTCATCTTGACACTAGATTGATGTTGAAAGACTTTTTCCAGTGACTCAGTGGCCAGCCAGATGATTCCAGGGTTTTCTTTTTTTAAATTTTATTGTTCTGGTGTTTTGCAGGGACAAGTTTGATGTGTTTCAGGGAGCTAAGTTTGCAGGACTTTGTTTTGAAATTCTTGTTCTGATCCAGATTACAGTGTTACACGGAAGAAGCATTCAGGAGCAGGAGTTTCCTTTCTGCCTCTTCTGGGCCTTCCAGCTTCCTGCTGTAGGGTGTGTCCTCTTTGGATGGGAAGTTCTGACTTGTTTCCCTGGGCCATGGTTTTGGAGATGCTTATCTTTCTGTGCCTCAGCTTGTCAACACTGCTCTGGGCTTGGGCTCTCCTCTTTGGAAGCACTTTCCACTTCCGGAAGGACAGTAGTCCTAAGTCCTCACCATATAATAACTTACAACTTGTGGATGGATGCTGGATACCATGTGCACCAGTGGAACAGGGGAGAAAAGAGACATTCAACAAACATTAATATTGATGTTAAATATATTCTATTCTTGGCACGACTGTCTACAAGAAAATCACAACCAGTAGAGAAGACAGATGTGCCAATACTTAACTAGTTCACAGAACATGGCAAGTGGTATAATCAGATGTACACGGGGTGAGGTCGCTGCTCACTGAGAAGGTCTGAAGCTCAGAAGCCCCCTTAGAAAGGGCTTTTTCACCTTTCACTTCTCACCCCCCCCCATTTTTATTTATTTATGTGCTGGGGATCGAATCCAGGGCCTTGTGCATGCAAGGCAAGCGCTGTACCACTGAGCTACCCCCCAGCCTCCTGCCTTGTTTCTTTTATTGTGGATGTTTATTCTTTCTCAAGTGCTTGCCTTGGCCTTTTTGGATAGGAATAGTTTTATTCCTCAGAGTTTGGTACGGACTTTTGTGCTTGTCTCAGGAGAGAGGAGAGATTCCCACGGACTAGCTGGGCTCCCTGTCCTTCTGAGGTGTGTCCTGCATGGATCATGGTGGTGGTGGGGTGCTCAGAGGGCTGAGCTCTGCCCAGCTTCAAGGGTGAGCAGCTTAGGAAAGCACCCTGACGACTTCTGTTCATCCCTGACTCCTCTCCCTCCTGATTACCTGCATTCCAGATGCTTTTTCTTAGTTGTCAGAGCATAAACTCAGACAGTTGGTTCTGGCAGTGGCCTAGAAAGCAGACCCTGAGAACAGTGCTCAGAAATGGAGCTGTGTTAGAGACGCAGATGTCACTGGGGCAGGCTTTGTATGAGGAGTGAGGCTGTTTATTTCACTCAGGGGCCAGTGGGCTGATTCCGAGAAAGGATTCAGCAGCCAGAGAGGAGAGAACAAAGGATTTAAAGGGGATGTACAGGAGGGGTTGCTGCCTTGAGGAATTTGGGGGCAGAGAGAGTGAGGTCACATTTCTCCAGATAGGAGGTGTACATGTGGTCAGTCCCCAGCCCCCGCTAACATAAAGTTTTGATGTTAAGGCCATGTCAGCCTCTGCAAAAAGAGGAAACATTCCCTCTTTTTTTTTGAATTTTGGAGTATTTTGTGTAAAATTAGAGTTACTGTTTTTTGAATATTTCATAGAGTTTAGAAAATCTTTTGGGCTTGGAATTTTTTCTATAAACTTTTGATTTAGTTAAAAAGCTGTCGGGGGCTGGGGATTTAGCTCAGTGGTTCCGGCGCCTGCCTCACAAGCCCAAGGTCCCAAGTTCGATCCCAAGTACCCCCCCCCCAAAGAACTATCCAGTTAGCCATTTCTGCTTGAGACTCTTGAGATGTGTATTTAAAAATTTCTTTCCATTTCATCCAAGTTTTCAAATGTATCAGCACAGTTTCTTTGATAGCATTTTATCTTTTTAGTATGTGCAGCATTTCTAGTTACATTCCTCTTTTTATTTCAATTATTGTTCATTTTTTCTCTTTATCTTGAGCAGTCTTACCAGAATTATGTCGCATTAGGTTTTAGTGATTTTTTAAAAACCTATTTTTATCTTTGTTTCTCATTGTGTTTTGAAAATAACTTATGTACATCCTATTATCTTTGGGTTTACATCCTATTATCTTTGGATTTATTTTCTTGTGCTCTATCTTTTTATAGTTCATCTGCAACTTGTGAACACCAGTGAAGCTCATATGTAGATACTTTCTTTGTTCCTGTAACCCCAGTTTTGTTATATGTGAAAACAACATTTTCCAAACTGTGGGTGGCCCATTACTGGGTGAGATCACTGACCTAATAGGTTATGGCTAGAATTCTTTAAAAAACACTAGTAGGGGCTGGGGATTTAGCTCAGTGGTTTCACCGCCTGCTGCACAAGCAAAAGGACCCGAGTTCAATCCCCAGTACCAAAAAAAAAAAACAAAACACTAGTAGAACGGAAAGAGGATTCATAGCAAGTTACGCATATTATATATTATAAGGTTACACATCATTATTTATTTATTTAGTTTTCCAAGACAGGGTCTCACTGTGTAGTTCAGGCTGGCCCTAAACTCATTATGTAGCCCAGGGTGGCCTCAAACTCATGGGGATCCTCCTGCCTCAGCCTCCTGAGTGCTGGGATTACAGGCATGCACCACCACGCCCAGCTAGGTTACTTATCATTTTTATGAAATTTTATATATCTGTCTATATTAGGTCACAATATAAAATGTTATTTTCTAAAAGAAAACAAACCTGAAATGACTGTTAAAAGGTACAGAAGTTTATCCGCAAAGCTTTCAAGCCTGATTGCACAAAATAAACACCGAGGAGCTTGCTGAAGGACAGATTCTGTGACCCTATTTTAAACCTACTAAAAACAAGCTTCAGGCTGAGAAATCTGCTTTCTCAGACTCCGCTGTGCCTGCTGCCGACCTGTCCAGGGTCAGGAAGTTGACCCGGAGCTCTTGCTGGCGGGGTTTGCTGGGGGACCAGAAGAGTTCAGCGTCCTGTGTGCTTCTGCCCCAATCCCTCCTCCCAGGAGCTCAGGAGGGGCAGAGTGGCAGGGGAGCCATGTCATTGGGTGGCTTGGAGGTGGTGGGCCGGGATGGTTTGGGAGCGTCCTGCGGAAGTGAAATGGTTCTCCTGGCCCGTGATTCTGTTACATTCAGTCAGCAGTGCTGAGCAGCTGTGTATACCCCAGAGACCAGTAGTCTGTGACAGGCTCATTCCGTGATGTACTCCAATTCATGGTCTCAGAGAAATGCAAGTTGAAACCATTCGTGACCGTCAGGCACATCTGACCCAAAAGCCCACAGTGATTTAAATCTCCAAGGCTGGGCCATCCCCAGCTAGCTGGCCAGAAGCAGTTCTCCTTCATGGGCAGGGGTGGGGGCACTCCATTTGCCCAAGGGGCTTATCAGCCAGGGCTGTTATCAGGGAGTGCTAGGAGACTGTGTCATAGGGTGGGGCTTGGCCATGGGGTCCCTGCAGTAGCGTGCTGCAGTCTCATGCTAAGTCCGTGACAGCGGAGTCACACTCAGGCCCTGCCCTCCCTGCACAGCAGATGCGCACATGTGGGACAGTTGGTTTGGTAAGGATCTTAAATCACAGTGCATAGGGGAACTCTGTATTTTCAGCTCAGGACCAAACATTTCCCTTTATTATATCTCAGTCCGTGATGCTTTTTGGTCGTTTCATTTAGTTGTGTGACAAACCACTGCAAAACTCAGTGACTTAAAACGACAACAGCAGTGATCACAATGATCGACTCTTTGCTCAAGAGCCAGCAATCTGTGCAGGGCCAGCTGGGGACGGCTCCCCTCCGCTCTGGGTGCTTTCCAGAGGGGTCTCCCTGGGGTGCCAGCCCCGAGGGCCCCCCCGCCCTAGAGCTCTGCTTGCTACAGCACTGCAGCTGTAAGGGCCCAGGAGGACAGAGCGGGAGCTGGGTTCTCGGAAGGCTGCAGTCCCCGGGCTGTTACTTCTGCCACATTCTCTCGGGCAGAGTGCATCACAAGTGAGCCTAGATGGGGCGAAGCAACACAGGGAGCCTCTTGCTAGACGAGTGTGGCTCCTGTTCGCAGAGGGGAAGAATTGTTGGCCTCTCTTTGGCAAGGGCTCCACCCCGCGTCCCTCCTCCCTCCCCCTCCTCTCTGCTCCCCCTCATGCTTCCTTATTCCTTCCTTGCATCTAAATAAGCCCACTCTCACTTTCATCATAAGACAGTGACATAGGCTTTATTTAGAGATTAAAGATTGGACTTTTCTTCTCTGCTAGCCCGTTTTGCCCTTTGTTGACACTTTCCTAGTGGTGTTTTCAGATTCTCCCTTTTGGCTCAGTGCTGTCTGCCTCCTCTCCCTCATTCCAAAGTAACTTCGCTTTCATCTCTGCTCCCCTCGCAGCCCTTAGTGTTTGGGTGAAGAAGTGAATGGAAGCAGATTGGAGGATAATTAAGCATCAGCTGTCCAGGTATCATTTCAGGTTAGGGAAGCGTTTCAGAGTGAAATAGCTGTCTTTAGCTGTTCTGCTTTTCATTGTCGTCTGTGGTCTGCACATCGTCCCCAGTGCCCCACCTTTAGCAGCTTATGCCTGACGGGAATATGTATTTATAGCTGTGGTTATAATTTTTTTATCACGTTTTGAGATTTCCATTAGATGTGTGTATGTAGCACTAGGTATTCAGTTACATCATAGGCCAAACAGTCATACATACAACTAGATGTATCTGTGTGTATTTATTGGTAAGCAGGGTGAAAAATCCCTGATAAAGTCAAGAGGACCTCTTCAGTGAGGCCGTGCCTGGCCCTGATCCCCGCTTTTCTCCTCTTTCCGGGGCCAGGAGTCGAGGAGAGGCCGGGTCAGCATGTGCGCCTCTGTCAAACACAGCAGCCGGGGTCCTGCCCTCATCCCGAGGATGAAGACCAAGCACCGCATCTACTACGTGGCGCTCTTCTCCGTGGTGCTGCTGGGGCTGCTGGCCACGGGCGTGTTCCAGTTCTGGCCGCACTCCATCGAGGCCTCGGGCGACTGGGCGGTGGAGAAGCGCAGCGCGGCGGTGCCTGTGGTCAGGCTGCCCAGCGACAGCCCGGTGCCCGAGCGCGGCGACCTCAGCTGCAGGATGCACACGTGCTTCGACGTCTACCGCTGTGGCTTCAACCCCAAGAACAAGATCAAGGTGTACATCTACTCCCTGAAGAAGTACGTGGACGAGCTGGGCATGCCGGTCAGCGGCAGCATCTCGCGGGAGTACAATGAGCTGCTCTCGGCCATCGCCGACAGCGACTACTACACCGAAGACATCAGCCGCGCCTGCCTCTTCGTGCCGTCCATCGACCTGCTGAGCCAGCACGCGCTGCACATCCGTGAGACAGCGCAGGCCCTGGCCCAGCTCTCCAGGTACCCGGGGCGGGACGGGGCGGGACGGGGCGGGACAGGGCGGCGGCCCCTCCCCCAGCCGGCTTCCGAGGAAGCAGTGCGAAGCAGGAGGTTGGCAAGTTGTAGACCAGCCTGGGTAATTTAGCAATCTAGCGAGACCCTGTCTCAAAATTAAAAGGGCTGGGGATGGAGCTCTGTGCAAAGGCCTGGTTCAGTCTGCAGTACTGCAAACAAATGTCTGAAAATTCACATAAGCCGAAAGAAGAATGTAGAACTCATGCCATAATCCTGCCTCCAAGAGATAACCATTGTTAATATTTTGATGTTACTTTTTGGTCATTTTTTGGTATAAAAAATAGACCTTTTCTCCTCCAGAATGGTACCACACTCTACATAGTCTTTGGCTGCTTTGTTTCCTTTAATAGATCATGAATACCATTTTCAAATTTTCACATTCTTTTACCGTGTAATTTAAAGGCTGTATAATATTCCATTTTGTGAACATTCTACAATATATACCATCAACTTTCTGTATTTTATTTGCTTTTGGTTTCTTTAACCAAACAGTGAACATTGTAGGCTTCAGATTTTCATTATTAGAAATGGTTCTGTAGTGGACAAGCCTGTCTGTTTTTTTCTTAACAAGGAGCCAGACCAGTGCCTGATGTACTGATAGGAACTGCAGGAATTTACCCAGCACCGCTGAAAAGTGGCCCTATTTATTCGGGGTTGGAGACATTTGCACTTGTTACCTAATAGCCGACTCTTGTTTCTTCATGGTCAACTCGTGAATTCTCCGTTTCATTCCTCATAGGTGGGATCGAGGTACAAATCACCTGTTATTCAACATGTTGCCTGGAGGTCCCCCAGATTACAACACGGCCCTGGATGTCCCCCGAGACAGGTAGGTGTATTCGGGGCTGTCCCTGGGATGGGTTTCTGAGGATTAAACAAATCCAAGATCTTTTTGTTCCTGTGAAATCATGTTCCTGCTCCTACTGGGACATACTCGATCATCTGAACTGTTCAGTGCATTAGAAAACTGCCCTCTGAGTTTCCTCTCCTGAGACACAGAAGTGGAGACCTGCTCGGCCCTGCTGTGGAGCCAGCCAGAGTGGTGTCCCAGCACGGCGTGCGCGGCCTGGGGGTCGCACCCCAGCTCCAAGGCCAGCTCAACCTCAGCCTGTGCCGGCCTCTGGATCTGGGAGCTGATATTTGTGAGGGTGGCCTGTGACACTGGGCAGCGAGGGCATCTGTGTCCTTTCCAGGGTGGCCGTGACTGCATGGTCTTCCCTTGGCCGATGCCCTCGGCCAGAGCTCTGGGAAAGCTGGGCAAAGAGGTGCTGTGGATGCCATGTCTCGAGGCCTTGAGCACCCTGGGTTAGGGTGCTGGGCAGTACTCAAGGCATAGGACTGTTACGGTGCTTACCTCTGGACTCATGTATCTCCGGTCTTGTTAGAGCTGACATGGAACTCTTGAAATCATTGTCACTGACAAAAGTGACAGCCTGAGGCAAGCTGTGTTCTCAGCATTGTCACAGAAATCGGCACTGAGTACTGCTCTCTCCCAGAAGATTAAACCTGAACCTTCTTGGCTGTAAATGATTATTTCAAGTCTGTCTTGAGTTTCTAACTGGAAATAAAATCATCAGTAGGAGAGACAAACATCCCAAGTCCTCCCTGGACTTTGGTGTAGAAACTGCTCTGGACGGCAGGGGGCAGTGTGGCCCTGCAAATGCTGTAGAAACCTGGCTCCTCTGATCCCTGGTGAGCTCTCAGCAGGACCAAGGCTGGTTGCTTCCTGAATGGGCTTCTGCTTTACAGAGCGGTTGTTCCAGGGAAGGGACAGAGAAGGGAGGAAAGGAGATGTTCGGAATGCCATGTCTCCACCTCCTGACCTCGGTTTTGTTGCAGAAGGACTTCCTGCTGCTTGGGACTTCACTTTTGGCAAACCTGTATTTTGGTGTATGCACTTGCTGGGGAGGATTGCGTTTTTATCAAATACACATGTTCAGTGGGTTTCCCTTCTCAGCAGCAGGGCCTCAGGTGGACAGGAGGAAGTTGGAGTTCTTGCTGGTGAGGTGTTAATGGCCCAGGCCATTCCTCTCTTAAAAAGGAATTACCTGTGGCAGGTATTGAGTGGGTGCAGCCTCCTGTAGATCTCCACACGAGGAACATCGCCCTCTGAAACCCAGTGGCCTTCGGTTGGGTAGGGGGTAATAGATAGTTCATTAAGCTTTCTGAGCTTTTGTCTTTGCTCCTGGATTCAGAGTAGGCAAGAACCACAAGGGCGGAAGGGTTTCAGGGGCTGCGTGTCTGGTTGTTCAGAAATTAGAAGTCATGGCCTGGATTAGACCGCCTGACATCTCCCGAAGTCTAAAGTCATGGTGTGATGAGGTAGAAGTTATTTGCTCAGGGGAAGCAAGGCCCTGGACTGGGAAGAATACATCACTTACGCTCCTTAAATCTGCTTTCATTTCTCTCTTAGCTTTTAAAAATCATATGTGTGATACACATATGCTTTCTGCACAAGCGTTGAGCAGTGTGCAAGTGTATAAAGAGTAAATGTTAAATCAGCTTTCGTTCCTGCTCTGTTGCACTCCTGATTGAGAAATGATCCTCACTATTAGGATATTTGTATTTTTCTAGTCTTCTTTCCCTTGATTTAGACACAAACACAATACACATTCCCATTTTATTTTAACTTAAGTGGAAGCATATTATACCCCTTTGATGCTTACCTGCTGTTAGTTTTCTCAGATGTTTTCTGTAATATTGTTACTACCTTGATTCTTATTTTCCTTTCTTTGCACAAGTCTCTTACAAACTTGCACTTTTATGTGGGTAGACATTTACTCATTTGAACTTATTATGGAAAATTTCAGACCTATATAGGAGAAGACAGTGGTACAGTGACCCACACCTCCCTCTACATTATCTAGAAATCCCAGATGTTTCATCACCATATCTGTACATATTTTCATGTGAATCTGTGTATGATAGGGGCTTTTAAAAACTATAAACTGGGTGGGACAGTGCATGCCTGTAATCCCAGTGCTCTGGGAGGCTGGGGCAGGAGAATTGCAAGTTTGAGCCCACGCTGGGCAACTTAGGGACTTAGCAAGACCCTGTCTCACAATAAAAAGACTAAAAAGAGCCAAGATGTAGCTCAGGGCCAAGGCCCCAGATTCAACCTCTAGTACCACAAATAACAACAGTGAAAGCGTAGCTATAACATCATCAAACCTATAAGCATGAATGTCACCAAGAGTCCACAGACTGTCTAGTCATTGTCAGGCTTACCTGTCTGTCCAGCACTGTATTTTTTCTCTCCAGTTTGTTTGACTCAGGAAACGAGGACAACTCTCAGGATTGGTCAGCTTTTGTTTTGTTTTGTTGGTTGCAGAACCTGAAGCTTTATATTTGCAGGACAAGTCATGGTCCATAGCTTAGAGGAAGACAGAGAGTAAACTCGCAGGCTCTCTGTACTCAGGCACAGAGAGTGAGTGGCCAGGTAGCAGGAGAACTGAGAAATCTGTGGGAGACTGGCCCTGGGAGGACGGGAGGTAGAGGCTGTGGGAAGAAGGCTCAGCGACAGCAGGGATGTCCCAGAGTCAGGAGGCTCTGGAAGATGCTCCGGGTGCTGGAGAAGTCTTCCGCTGACCCAGCGCGCCGCCTCCCGTGAGTCTGATCATCACACCAACATTTTTCCTGCCACGAGTTCTCTGTTTGGTCTCTCGCATCCTTGGAACAGATCTCTGATTTCAGGATCCAGAATGGGAAAACAGAATGCACTGCTCAGAAATTAACAGTCAACACGAAACACGTGTTCTGTAAAGCGGAGGCTGCTTAGCGCTCTTTCCTCCAGGGGAAAGCTCTGCCCAAGGGACTACAGCTCCAAGTTGAAGGCTCACTGCAGTGAGGTCACAGAGATTCCCGTGTCCCTCGGGGACAGAAGAAGAAAGGAACTGCGGAGCTGGTGTGAAGCACACTGCTTCTTTTTCCTCCACGCTCACTCCTGGCTCCCCTGAAGAGCGGGGTGGAGAAGCCTGGTCACCCGAGGCCTGGGCCTCCCAGGCCTGCCTGGGGCTGCTCTGACCCTCGAGGAGTCTGCTTGCCATCAGGACCTGGAACCCGTCCAAGTCCCTGCTAATGGGAGAAGTCAGACTGCACGTTGGTGCCGAGGGCAGCCTGGCAGCCAAGAGCTTGTAGCCTGTGTGTTGCTGCACTCGCCCGTCCTGGGTCTCATGGAGCTTAAACAGAGTGGGCTTTCCAGGGGTGCTTTGGACATCTCTGAACCAAAACTGGTCCTGTTAGACAGGAACAGTTTGTCATCAGCATCAGGAGAGGATTGGTAGCAATCAGTATTGCAAAAAATGTGGTCTCTCAGTGGAGACATTGTGGCTTAGACTGCGGGGCGTGCAACTGGTAGAACTGTGCCCCAGAAAGTGATTTTGATGCGTCTGGGGCCTCCAGGACAGGATGACAGCAAGAGCTGGTGTGATGTTCACCTGCTTCCTCCCTCTGATGAAGTGTCGTTGTGCTGCTTGCTGGATCCAATTAAAACAATGTGGTCACTGTTTCTGAGGAAGGAGAATGAAAGCAAGTGCAAGCTCACTGCAAGAGAAGCACACAAGGTCCAGTTCTGGATTTTGCTTCCTGAACAGGGAATTGAGTTAATAGGAATGAGCAGCTCTGGGGCGACAGAGGAAGAACTGGTTGGGCAGGGCCTGGAGCAAGGCTTTTTGGAGAGGTGGCTGGAATCGGAATGAGGTAGCAGAGGGCCTGTGCCTAGTGTCCCCTGGCTATAATAGAGGAAAGCAGGGGAGACTTTAGGACCCTGGGGGAGAGCTGGTGATTCGGGAATCTGGTGCCACTCATGTCTGGGAGATGCGTCGTTGTGAGAGTTGTTGTGAGTGTCCAGTGCCCAGTAATCTTAGACAATAGCGACTCGGTACCGCTGAGGTTGCTATTAAGACTCGTCATTCCGGTCCCTTTCCACAGAGCCAGTCAGAAGGGAGACCTTATGTCTTTCTCACCATTTGATGAAATCCCTTGCTTTCAGGGCGCTCTTGGCTGGTGGTGGCTTTTCTACGTGGACTTACCGGCAAGGCTACGATGTCAGCATTCCTGTCTACAGCCCGCTGTCCGCTGAGGTGGCTCTTCCGGAGAAGGGACCGGGGTAAGGTACCTTCAGCGCTGCCGAAGCTGCTCGGGATGTGGGGGTGCTTAGTGTGGTATGCATCTCAGCCACCATGACCTGGATTTCAGGCCATGTCTGCGAGTGTCCCGTCTGTCCCACCCCAGACCTGTCCCCCCTGCAGCTTTCTCTGTGTCACTAAACTCCCAGGACTGTGGCATCCTTAATTCCATCCTCTTTCACTCCCTACAGCAAAATCAGAAGTCCTGTTCACTCTGCATCAGAATTACTCCTTAGATTTGTCTGCCCCCTCTCCCAGCCTCTGCCTTATACCAGGTCGCTGTTGTATCCCTTTGGACCCCTGAACCGAGTCCCATTTGGTGTCACCACCTCTGGTCTGGCCATCCCCAGCCTGGCCTGGCCTCACGCTGTCCGATGGATCAGTCCCACCTCCCTGACATGTCAGTCCAGCTCTCTGCCATCTGGCCACTCCCCCGCTCCATCTCCGGCCTTTCCTCAGAACATTTTTCCTTTCTACCCATAGAAGAGGCTTCACTCTCTCTGATTTTCTAGCCTGGAAGCATCCTTGCATGGAAATCCTTTTCCTCCTCTTCATCAGTCTAATGTCTTGCTTTTACTTTAGGTTCCAGCTTGACCTACTGACTTGGACAGGTTGGGGTGCACTGGTCTCTCCCACAGGGCCTCCCCTTCTCTCGGGCGACACTCATTCTGCCCTGGCCTGCCGTCTTTGGACTTTGGCTTTGGTCCGTACGGTGAAGCAGAGGCCAGCTCTGTGTTTTGTTTTGTTTTATTTTATTTTATTTTATTTTTCAGGTCTGCTTTTTAACTGCTATATTGTGTCTGGCACATACTTGGCTCATACTTTAATATGTGGAATAAGTGAAAAGGGTTGAGAGCCTGGATATGGTGGGCCTTTTGTTTAGCTTTTTCCTGTAGTCTGTTTAAAATTGTGCTATTTCATGGTGAGAACTCAGTGGGCTTTAAACAAGCCTAGCGATAATAAAGCATCCCTTTACTTATAAGAGAAGTCCTCTGATATGAAGGCGACTGAAATCACAACACTAAAAATGTCACACCAGCTGAGATTGAAACCCGGTCACACTGTTTGGTGGTAGAATTGGGAAACAGTTTGCTTGGAAGCCATTAGAATCATTCTCTGAGCATCCCAGACTTGCCCTCAGAGACTTTTGTGGATGCTGAGACATAAGAGAACCCTTCCGGAAGAAGACATCCCTCTCTGACATGTGTGTTCCACCATGTGGGCTGGGCCAAAGTCTGAAGCTCCCAGCAGCCATTAGTTATTTCAGACAATGTGCAAAGTCCAGGTCAGCATGAGACATTTTGCCCTCCACCCTCAGCAAGTGCAAAGGAAGCCCGAATGGTTCATGAACTTGTGGCTTAGGTCATCTTCCTGGATTCTTTTCCCTTAATAAACTCCCAGAATGGACTTAATTTATTATCTTAAAATTGAGATTAATTCAAATACCATGAATGCAGTCTTTTAAAGAGTACAACTCATGGCTTCTTGTGTACTCAAAAAGTTGTGCAACTATTGTCAATACTACTTTCTAATTCTAGAGCATTGCCATTGCTCTACAAGATAAAAGTCAGTACTCTCTAGCAGTTACTTCTTATCTCTGCCACCAGCAACAATCATTGATCTATTTTCTGCCTGTTCTGGACATTTCATATCAATGCAATCATGCAATACCTTTTCTGTCTTGTTTCATTTAGCATAATGTTTTCAAGGTTTATCCATGTTGTAGTACAGAATCAGCACTTCCATTTTGTTCATCCATTCATCAGTTTATTGGAATCCATTCATCAGTTTATTGGAATCAGTTTATTGGAATTTATTAAAGTTTTAGCTATTTTGAATAATGCTGCTATAAACATTTGTGTACAAGTTTTTGTGTAAATCTAGTTTTCAGTTTTCTTGGATCTTTAGCTACGAGAGGCAGAATTACTGGCCCGTATGTTAGCTTTGTGTTTTACTTTCTGATGAGATGCCAACCACTTTCCAATGTGGCTGCATCATTGTACCTTCCTACGAACAATATATATAAGGTTTCCAGTTTCTCCACATCTTCGCCAATGCTAGTCATTATCTGAGGTTATGAGCCTTGCCATCCTCGTGGATGTGAAGGAGAATCTCACTGTGGTTCCAGTTTGCATTTCCCTAATAACTAATGATGTTGAGTATCTTTTCCTGTGCTTGTTGGCCATTTATACACCCACTGCAAAGAAATGTCTATTTAGATCATTTGCCTATTTTCAAATTGAGTCATCTTCTTATTGTAGAACTGTAGGATTTCTTATGTATTCCAGATGCTAGACCCTATTGGATTTGCAAATATTTTCTCCCACTCTGTGGGTTGTTTCTCACTTTCTCATTAAGGTGTCCTTTGAGACAGAAAATTTCCTGCTTTGGAAGAAATCCGACTTACCTACTTTTCCTTTGATAACTTATATTTTTGGTGTACTTTTAATATTTAGGAAACTATTGCCTAAGCCAAAGTCAGGAAGATCTACACTTACGTTTTCTTCTAAGAGTTTTATAGTTTTTGCTTTTGGGCTTAGGTTTGTGATTCATTCATTTTGAGGGTTTTGGGGGGGGATAGAGCCCAGGATCTTATCTGTGGTAGGCAAGTTCTGTACCACGGAGATACATCTGTAGCCCTTTGTTAATTTTTCTATGAGGTGTGAGGTCCAACTTCATTCTTCTGTTTGTGAATATCCACTTTCTCAGCCCACTTGTTGAAAGGAGTATTCTGTAGTCTTGGTATGCTGGTTGAAGGTCAAGTGGGTATACATATGTGGGTTTATTTCTAATTCTCAGTCCTAATCTTGGTCTGTACCAGTACCCACACTGGCTTGATTACTGTAGCTTTGCAGTAAATACTGAAATAGGTAAATGTGAGTCCCCTAACATTGTGACTTTTGCAAGGTTTTACGGGGTATTCAAGGTCCCTTGCATTTTGATTATTTTTGCAATAGTGTAACTTGAATAAATGGAAACAAAAAATCTAAACTCCCTTTTGTTTATTCAACTACAAACTAAGACAGACTTACAAAGTAAATACTGGCACATCTACAAAACTAGTAACATTGAGATTAACACAGTTTGAGGTGATAGGTGAAGGTGTTTCTTTGAAATGGAATTACAGCTGTTAAGGTGAATGTGGAACTAATATTCAGGTCCATTGGGTTTGGGAGGCCTATGTGATTGCATGATGAGTGATAGTATACCCTTCTCTACCATGTTATCTGTTTAAACCCCTAGGAAGCTTCCCTTTATGTAGCTTACTGTGACATCATTTATCTTCATGCTTAAAAAACTTTTACCGTGAACACACTGTCTACCCGTCAGCTAGTCTACCATTTGTCTTTCGCTGTACTCGCTTTCTGGGATTTACAGTGTAAGTCTTCCCCTTCCCTCATTAGCCGCTAACTGCGAACTTGCTCGTTGGTTCTGTTGATGTTACTGAGTAGTACAGATTAATTTATAAAGAGTAAGGGTTTTTTGGGCTTGAGTACCAAATACTGGGAAGCCAGAGATGGGGTGGTCGCATCTGGAGGGGTCCTGCTGCCTGGTTGGGAGTCTGCAGAGCCCCGGGGTGCTGAGAGTATCACATGGCCAGAGAGAATGACCTAGCTCAGGTGCCTCAGCTTCTAGTAAAGCCACAGCCCTACCGGATTAGGACCCCCTTCCTTAGGGCTTTATTTAACTGTAATTAATCTGCCAGATTCCCATCTCCAAATACCATAGTGGAATTAAGTGTCCACCCTCTTAATGTCTCATGATGGAGATTAAATTTCACCATGAGTTTGGGTGGACACATTTAAACCATGGCAAACAATTTTTTTCTAAAAACTAGTATTCATCATTAAATATGAGAAAAACTTCACCTATATTAAATGTTTTATTATCATCAAAAGAATTTAAAAATAATTTTTTTTTCCAAAAATAACTCTTGTGGAGAATCTGTAGATGGATGGATATAGTTCAGCGCCGTGGTCTGAGGCTAGATTCCCAGGAATGAGAAAGGATGGTTTGTGTGAGCCAGCTAGTACTTTCTGGGCTACAGATTTCTGTCATGTGCCGGAAATCTTAACTGGGCATATTTATGTAGCCCGAGTGTGAATAAATAGAAAAGTATATTCCTTTTCTTGCCACTTCTGTGAGCATTTACTTAAATCAGTTGTACGATAAAACAAAATATTGCCTTACCCTTCTTTGTTTTCCTTTTTGAAGTTGTTCTGGAAGTTCGTTACTTCAGTTCAGAAGAACAAACCACTCCCAACAATTAAAGATCACCTTCAAATAATCGGTTTGGGAGATTTAAATTATTGCATGGGTGGTTGGTCTCTAGGAATTGGATCTCTCTAATTTATGTGTAACTACACTGAATATGAGATCTTTAACCAGATCGCTCGCGGTTTCAGTTCGTTTCTCAAGTTCTGGTGAGAAACCAGTGTATCTTCAAGAGTAGCCTGGGAAAGGCGAGGGCCGATAGAGCGGGACCTTCCCTCTGGTGGCCACACATCTGGGTCCCACATTCCTGCCTGTTTGGAGCCAGGCCCTGCATTGGCGCTGTTACTTTTATAAAGAACATTCCTCCCCTGCACCCCCAAACAACCACTATAGCAAGCCCAGAAAGGTAGAGATGGCTCCTCCTGGGAGAGGGTCGGGTGAGCGACCTCCTGGCTTCACGTTGGTTCCTTGCTCTTTGTGAGAGTCACTCTTTAAGGGAATTCCCACATCTCCTGAGGGCCGCCCAGAGTAGTGAGAGCTCTGTTTTTATTTTAAATCTCTCAGTAGTTTTTCAACGGGAAGCTGAGGATTGTTACTATTGATAGCTTCTTCTCACAGCTGTGTTGGCCCAAGCTGGAATTCTTGTCATTTTCCTTCCAAAAGGAACTAAATTGGGAGTTTACAGGGTTAACTATTGAGGGAGACTCTTCAGTTCTCAGTGTGATTTTACTTTTGGGTACCAGGCTCCTGGGAGGAAACATGAAAGTTGCAACTAGTAATTTTAGTCTTCAAAAGAAAAACAAATCTACCTTAAAACTGTGTTTGCTTAAAGCTAAAATGAGCATATTCTGCCAGGGACGGGGGTCAGGGCAGGGAGGGCCAGCACGTGGGCTGGGGACTACACTTAGATTGCTGCTCCTGGCTCCTGTTTCTGCTGACCTGGAATGCTGGTAGAGCAGGGATCCGGTGAGTCTTGTACCTGAGAGTCTGAACTAGAACTTCATTTCTTCTCCATGACCTCAAACCTGGAGTCTTTCTTTGCTGAGGTTCCTTTGAGCACCGCACGTGAATGTCTTTTGATTTTTCATCCTGTGTAGGTAGATCTTCCTGTCTGTGTGTGCACATATTGGAAACGATGCCTTCTTAGTATCTCCAGTTCTGGCCAACACCGAAGGGCATCCTGCTTTTCTCCTTTTGCATGCTGGGAGCTCCCTTGTCTGGCTCCCATCGTCTCTGGTGGCCCCATGCTGTGCTCCCCTCTTCACACTCCTGGGTTCTAGGCCTGGGGAGATGCGACTGTCACCCTCATCCTCCTGTGGCTGCCCACACACCCTCCTAACTTCACCTGGTCTCCTGCTGGGTAGCGAAAACCCTACCACACAGCGGGCCATTTCATTCTGCAATAGCCTTCATTGGTAAGGTGGTTTTCCTGCTCGGCTGTGGGTTTGACTGAATCTTCCTCTTGAGTAAATGGACACCTACTGGGGAGGAGATGGTGTCCACTGTGGGACCGGCCCGGAGTGGTGCCCAGTGCGTAACCTTGCTGTCACCACTCCTCCCTTTATAGAGTGATTCCAGAAGCTCAGGGCTGGGAGAAGAAGCCAAGAATCTGTGTCATTGCCCAGAAGGAAGACTTGTGGCCATTAGTATCAATGTAGTGTTCAGTGAATGGTAACTAAGGAGGGACTCAGCCAGCTGACCAAGCTCTCTCCTTGGTGGATTCCTGTTCCGTAGCCTCCTTGTCTCCTCCGCCTCAACCCGGCCACTGAGTCTCAACCCAGTGAGGGCAGCACTGTCGAGTAGGACTCCCTGTGGGGAGATGGGAGAGGTGCCCTGGGTTTGTGCTGCCTGGCAGCCATTGGCCACGTGTGGCTTCTGAGCACTGCACTGTGGCTGGTGTGCTTTGGCCCCAAAGCTTCTTACTTTGGGAGAGAAGATGACTTGCTCAGTTAGAGAGCGGCTGTCCTTTGGCCATGGGTGTGTGAGTATGGTTCTTCTAGCTAGACTATCCAAATAAGAATGAGGATCTAAGGAGAAATAGCAATTAGTCTTCTCAAAGCTGAAATACAACAAAAACAAAACAGAGGGGACCAGAGTTCACCAAAGGATAGAGGTTTTGGTCCTGTCTTATTACAGTCTCTTGTTAGCCCTAGTATTTTCCTGGCCAGTACCAGTTTGAGCTGATTTAAGCAAATACTGTTTCTAAGCCTGATGGGTGTCTCCTTTCTTCCTGGAATGTGCTTTACATGAGTCATGTCATTGGTAGTGAACCCTTAATGGTCCCTTAGCCTATACCCCTTTGTGGCCTATACCCTCTCTCTCTGCCTTGTGGAAGTCTAGCCTTCTAGGAGGGAACTACTTACCATCTTGTCTTTCCAAAATTATCCTCTTGATTTCAGCCTTACTTAGTGTTGACTTTCTTTTTTGAGGGGGGGTGTCTCATTATGTTTCCCAGGCTGGCCTCAAATTCCTGGGCTCCAGAAATCCCACCATATAGAAAAGGGGACGTTACCAGAACCCCTTCAGTGGGTCCTGGTCTCCTGTGAGCCACAACAGCACAAGGCTAATTAGAGAATAAAGAGAAGAAACGAGACTTAGAGAAAAGGCTGGGTCTTGGGTCTGATCAGTGCTGCTCTAGACAGCAAAGACAAAAGGCATTCTGAGCTTACCATTATTTATTGGATTCATAGAGACTATCAGATGACTCAGAGGGGGCAATAATCCTAAACTGATGAGGATTTTATAATCGGAGGAAGTATCAGATCTTTCAGTAATCCTATGATGATGAGGATCTTAGATTGATGAGGAGTTTTATGTTGATTAGGATGGTAAGATGAGTAAAAACTGTTCTTAAAACAGTAGGTGGAATGAGTTAAGCCAATAAAGAATTTGTCTCTCCCCAGGTGAAATCTTTCTCTTTTTGTATTACTACTTGGTTCTCAAAGAACCAAGATGTCTTCAGCTGATGTAATCTTGCCCTTGAGCATCACAGAATCAGGGGACCATTGAGGCCCCAGACAGCCCTAATCATAATTTAATTGTGAAATGATTTTTTTCCCCAAAATTATGTAGACTGGCTCCCAACACCACCAACCTCAGTCCTGTGACTGACTGAGACACATCTGACTTTTGTGTTCACATGTTTGTCTCATGTGGAGTCCTGCATGGCACCAGACCCTTAGAAATCCTTCCTCCTCTGTTTTCTCTTACACATCCTTGCCATTGAGACTGGTTCCATGCTTTGCTGAAGGGGGTTTTTTCTACTTCTGGTTTTCAGCTTCTCTGCCGTCCCTGTGGCCTTGACCGTGGGCCCATGTCCCACTCAGCAGTGCTGCATCTGCTGGAACTCCCCGTCTCCCTGATGGAGAGTTGCAGCTGGCTTTCACTTTCTGTTCAGATCTGAGTCTCAGACTGAGCTAAGGATAACATTCTGGTGGCTTGTGCAACAACGAGTTGACTGTCCAGTTTCTCTCTGAACACACATAGGACGCTCTCTAGACTTGGTATATTCTAAGCATTTCTTCACAACCTTAAAGACTTTTCCGAAATAAAACTTTATGATAACATTTCAGAGTATAAATGAATCTTATAGTACTTAACATTTTAAGTATTCAACAATTCTCCAGTGTATAATTAAAAAAAAATATAGGTGATGTCAGGGTGGTGAGCAAACACTTGTGTCCAGAAGCTCAGTTTCAGTGTCTGTCTAACCTTGATTTCTGACGGGCTGCGGTTGTCAGTGACCTTTCTCCTCCTCCGCAGTCCCCGGCGATACTTCCTCCTGTCCTCGCAGATGGCCATCCATCCTGAGTACAGAGAGGAGCTCGAAGCCCTGCAGGCCAAACATGGGGAGGCTGTGCTGGTCCTGGATAAGTGCACCAACCTCTCCGAGGGCGTCCTTTCTGTCCGCAAGCGCTGCCACAAGCACCAGGTCTTTGATTACCCCCAGGTGCTGCAGGTGAGTGTCCTTCAAGACCCCACTCGGGCTGCGCAGGGTGACATTGACCCCAATGCTAGGAGTTGCTTCTGTGCAGCATCACTTGGGAGAGAAGGAAATGTCAGTCTTTCTCCATGCTGGGCACGTCCCCTTCAGGCGCTTGGGTGCCTATCATACAGTGTTCGTGGGAAGCAGCTGGGTCTATGCAAGCTGATACTCTTTTCACATACTCATTATACCCCAGAAATGCAAATCAGGTAGGTTTACAGCAAGCCATAGAGGCAGAGCACACTATTCTTGTATTTTGCTTTGAGTCCTGTGCTCTTGGGCCAGTCCCGGGAAATATCTTTCTTCAAGGAGGCAATTACTCGGAAGTGAGTGGGCTTTGCCATTGTTTTTATTCTCTGAGCTTTTGGTGGTTTGCTACCCATAGCATCTATATAGCATAGATGTCCTTTACTTAAACCGCCCTCGTAGAAGTGGCTCCATAACCAAAGGCAAAGCAGTTGCTTTGGGGATGTTCTGCAGGCGGCTATTGAACAGTCCAAGGATGTGTGGGCTAGGCAAGGAGAATGTGAGCTCTGTTCCCTGAAATCTTCCAAATCAAGACCAGGTTAGTTCAGGGAGAAATATCAAGGACCTGGCCCATACTGAGATTATTAAAATACCTTCTCTGAAGAAGTGCTGCATCTCCCTCTGGAATGTCTGGCTGATAATGGTGCTGGTGTGAGCAGGAGTATTTATAGTAACCTTTGTCTAGACAGGAAGAGTGGTTATCAGCACATGTGTCCACATCTGGCCACCAACCCTGTGGGTCAGGCCGAGTTGCCACCTGCACCCCGGGCGGCCCAGTGGGTGTTCTTCCTCCGAGCTGCTTCTCCCCTGTATCCCTGGAGGGCAGTATGATATTAATTTTCATGATAGTTTTTCTGAACTTTCTATTTCTATAACTTTAAAAATTAGACCATGATTTATTTTCTCCCTTTGAAAAGGCAAATACTAGGAGAAACTGAGCGTTGGAGAATCAGGGTCATCCCTCACTGTTTTCTGTGCACATCTCTTATTTTCCCCAGTGTTCCCATTGACAGGGTTTAGGGAGCGAGTAGGGAAGACATTTTTTGAGATTTTGCTTTCATTAGATTCATTGTTTCTAGAGAGACCACCTCTGTCTGAATGTCTTTTCAAGGGTGTCGCATTCCTTCAACGGCCATCTTCCATGGGCAGATGATGCTAGACACACTGTGGGAGTAGAAGGGTGACCAGAGGCTTGGTGCCTCCTTTAGTGGGTCCTGTGAAGAGCCCCATATTCCCAAAGCGATTCCCTTACGAGGGGCTGAGGTAAGACTGGGCCCTCTGGAGAGTTTGCCTGGGACATGCCCAGTGCCGGAGCTCCCCGTCAGAGAAAGCCTATCCTGTGAGCATGTGCAGAGACCAGCCCTGGTGGCCCTGAAGTTACCCTGGGGTATGGAGATGCAAACCATTGCGACGAGACCAGCTACACTCTTCACATCTTATAGGCAGGAACTGTTGCCTTTTGGCAGTTTTGGGTCACGATACCTCAGCGTTGTGTGGCTTGAAAACTGGGGGACTTCATGGCCTGCAGGGATGCCTGTGAGTGGATTGGCCATGCTGGGTTGTAACCCTCAACCTCTGTTTGTGTTCCCGCAGGAGGCGACTTTCTGCGTGGTCCTTCGAGGTGCTCGGCTGGGCCAGGCCGCACTGAGTGACGTGTTGCGGGCTGGCTGTGTCCCAGTTGTCATCGCAGACTCCTACATCCTGCCTTTCTCTGAAGTCCTTGACTGGAAGAGGTGAGTATTAGTGCCTGGCAAACTTTAGCTAGTACTGTAGTTCTGCCAGCAGTAGAAATAAAAAGCCCCTCAGGCACTGGAAAGCATACACCACTTTGAGAACTGCAGGCTGAGCAGCCCTAATTTGAAAATCCAGAATCAGCAATGCTGCAAAATCAGAAACTTTCTGAGTGCTTTCACGGTGCCACAAGTGGAAAATTCCACACCTGACCTTTGGTGATAGGTCACTGTCAAAATGCTGGCGTTACCTTGTGGCGATGACTCTAAGGTGTGTATGAAATATAAATGAGTTTTGTGTTTGGTCTTGGCGCCTATCCCTGTGATATCTCATTATATGTGCAAATATTCTGCAATCTGCAAAAACCTGAAACACTTTGAGGCTAGCATTTCAAATAAAGGATACCCAACCTGTACTATGGAGACTGCTTTGCTCCACTCCCATCAGGAAACTTAGCCCATTGGCTTACAGCAGTTCACAAACTGGGCCAAATCTGCAAGCTAGCTGCTTTTGTAAGTAAAGTTTTACTGGAACACAGCCACACTCCTTCATTTATGTATTGCGTGGCTATCATTATGCAGCTTGGACAGCATCGAGTAATCTTACCAAGACTGTAGCTTCTAATGCCTAAAATATTCACTATCTGGCTCTTTCCACAAAACCCTTTTCCACCCTCTAGCCTACAGGAATGGCTTTCAACTTTGACTGCAGAGTAGACTCACCTGGACAGCTTTTTACAAAGCTCTGGCCTTATCCAGGAGTCTGCGTTTTGAGGCTTCCAGGTTGTCTGAGTTGCAGTGATGGTTTACCGCTGCTGCAGTCTGTTGAAGGTGCACAGTGCGTGGCTGGCGAAAGCTTGGAGACATATCCAGGGACAGCCAGACAGAAGTGGCCTCTGCCTGGTTATGTTCACAGAACAGCCCTCCATTCTCCTGTTCATTGTGCACAACACTTTGCAGGTGGAAGATTGTTGAAAATTGGTTCCTTTGCTGTACACCACTCAGGCTTGCTCTTTGCCTCAGAGCCTTAACTGCTTTCTTCTCTCCCAACTCTTCTGGTATTTTATCCAAGTCCAATTGCCACAGTTATCTGAACAATTTAAATGAGACTAATTCATTCATTTTTTTCATTCATGTCATACTTATTGGAAAGGCGATTATGAATAGCACTGAGTTTCCTTTCCGAGGAGGCTAGGATTGTGGGAGGAAAGACAAACTCGCGATTAACGGTGAGTCTCCCTTATCTGAAATGCTGGGAACCGGAAGTGTTTTGGGTTTCAGGGTTTTGTTTTGTTTTTTGACTTTGGAATATTTACATCACATAATGAGATACTTGGGGGAAGAGACCCAAGTCTAAACATGAACGTCATTCATGTCACATGAACACCATACATATAGCCTGAAGTTCTAGACATATTTTTAATTTTGTGCAAAAAGCAGAATTTCATCATATGGAATTTTCTACTTGTGGAATCGTATTGGCAGTAAAAATATTTCAGATTTTGGAGCATTTCAGATTTGGATGTTTTGGATTGGGGTGCTCAACTTGAACAACAGGCTGTGGAAATGCCATAGCAGATATTAGCACAGGGGCTCTGGAAGCCTGAAAAGAGGAAGGAGCCTGAGTCTGGTTGAGAGAGGAGAGTGTAAAGTTGTTTCTTAGATCTTAGAGAAGTGAAGAGCGGCATCCAGCATTCACTCGCCTATGAAAATATCCATTGAGCACCTGTTATTTGCCAGGCGCCATCAGGTATGAGAAGACAATAACAATCAGGCCTTTCTTCCAGGGTGCTCAGGGTTTAGTGGTGGAAGATAGACAAGTACATGAGCAGTTACCAAATGCAGTGAGGAGACCTCCCTGCTGTTTAGGCTGCCAGGAGGAGAGAGAGGGCTCGGGGAGGGCTTCACCTGGGTGGTGACCGTGAGCTGGGGGTAAAAGGGTGTCTCTGTGAGAATCCAGATCTGCTTGGGTAGCTTAGATCATGGGTGAGTAGCAGGAGGCCTCTGGGTTTGAAGCCAGCAGCCTCAGCATAGGAACCAGCTCTGTGCTGTCTGGATCTGTGATCATGGCCGATTGACCCTTTTTGAGCCTCAGTTTTCCCCTCCACGTAGTAGAAATCATTGACTTAGTTCACCAGTGTTTGCCAAGGGCCCGTGGTGCGCTGGGTACTGGCAGGGGTTGCTGGAGGAATGGCCTTAGATTTTAGTCAGTTCCTCTATCCAAGGATCATCCCAGACTTCTTGAGGCCCTGAGAGAAGGGTCCTGGGTGGGTCCTCCCTCCTCTTCCTCCTCTTCCTCCTCTGGTAGGCTTCCCAGCTAGGCGCCCCGCTCCTGGGCTTGCTTTCCCATGCTTTGTTCTTACACAGCAGCCACCTATACTCCAAGGTGACTCACGCTCCCCTCTCTCTGCCAGGCTCCTGCTGTTCTCTGCCACAAACCCAGCCTGCCCGGTCCTCAGGCCCTTTCACTCCCTGGCCCTCAGGCATTCTCATGGCCTCCTTGGCCCTCACCTTCCCTGTCTGATTTGCTCTCTGCTGGCCTGGCATATAATAGGGCCCCTGTACATAAATGTTGACTGAATGAAAGGCTTTATGAACAGAACTACAGTTGGCAAGTCATTGTTAATACAGCAAGATCAGAGAAAAGGGAAGAAGAGTATGTAAGGAGGCGGCATTTCACATACAAAGGCCCTGTGGCAGGGCAGAGTGTGGTGTGCTGAGTGACCAAGAGGATCAGACATGGAGGCCAATGAAAGATAAATAGGGTGAGTGGGAGGTGAGGAATCAAGGCAGCTGAGATGATGCCATAGAGGAGGCCAGCATGAGAAGGGGAGGTGGGGAGAACATGTTCCGGGAGACATGAGGCTGAAGCAGCTCTGGGTGTTGTTTCTGCTCATGAGAAGGAAACAAGAGAGGGCCCGGAGCTGCTTCTGAGGGTTGGATGCACACCGGCTGTCCTGCTGTCATCTCCAGGGCGTCTGTGGTGGTGCCGGAAGAGAAGATAGCTGACATGTATGGTGTCCTGCAGAGCATCCCGAGAAGACAGATGGAAGAGATGCAGAGGCAGGTGAGAGGCCAGGCCGAGCACGGACACAGAAGCATGGTCTCCATTGCTGAGGACGAGGCGGGTCTGTCTGCTCATCGTGTCCACGCTGCAGACTTAAACCACGGGAGTGCAGGCTGTGGGTGCATCCAGCAAGCCCTGAAATCGTAGCTAGCTGAGGTGGCCAGACCCCACGGAGGAAGCTGCTGTGCTTTCTGGGTGTTCGGTGGCAGGGTCTTCAGGATGGCAAGCTGAAGCCTTTCAGAAAGCCACGGGCACCATGGGTGACAGTGCTGGTGCCCGAGTCAGCAGGGAGCCGGGCCACTTCCAGCTGAGACCATGAAAGCATTACTGTGTATGCAGGGAAGTGAGGGGTCTCTCCTGTCCCCGCAAGAGTGCCATTTCCCTGTCTCCCTCCCCTTCCGATGCCCCTTCCCACCAGCTCTCTGGGTGCCTGAAGGGCCCACTGAGTGTCTTCTTTAGTCCCATTTCCTTTCTTTCTCCTGGGAGAAATTTAACTGGGTATCAACATCAAGCAAGTTGAAAATTTAAAAGACTATCCCTAACTTGGTAGGAAGTATTCTTTCTGGTTTTGTTTTTTTTTGTACAGGGGGTCGAACTTGGGTCCTTTCGCTTGCAGGGCAGGCGGTGGAACCACTGAGCTAAATCCCTGGCCCACACATTTTGACCTTTATCAGAGCTGCCTCCAGAGGAGATGAGGGGGGAAGAGGCTGGGAGGGCCTGGTGCACGCACCCGCACCCCTGTTGTCAGCTTGGCTCTGCACCCCAGGGCGGGGGCCTGGATTTGACCCGGGCCCGAGGGTAGGCCGCAGGCTTTGGACAGGGGCTGACAGTGCCCAGGCCGTGGGGTGAGGAGAGCACCTGGGATTCCTGCTGCACCGTCCACCACATCGTCAGTCTTTGCTGCTGCTCTTTGCCCACCTGAGCCCCAGCTTGGCTTTCCTCAGGGAGACACGGTGGAGCCGACCTGGGCCTCGGCCTCGGGTACCACTTCCGCTCCTTGCCAGCTTTGTTGCCGCCCTGTCTCCCGTTCTCTTTATCCAGGGCTCTGGAAGCCTTGCCTTGTGAAAGGTCCCTTGGATCGAGAGAGTGAAAGCAGCCATGTTCAGTCCACCCTCTGTGCGTCAGCTCTCTGTCACTAACCTGCGATGATGACAAAAGCTTATGAAGACAAAAGGCTGCTTTTGCCACACAACCTTGGAGGTTCCAGCCCTTGCGCAGGTGAACGCACTGCCCTCAGGGCCCGATGGGCTGGTGACACATCGTGGAGGGGAAGTGGAAGAAAGGGGAAGGGGCCAGATCCCCTGCAGGTCCACCTCAATGCCTAAAGACCTCCCAGCGGGTTCCTGCTCTCCCAGGATCCTACGCTGGGGACCAACCAACCCTCTAACACAGGAGACTTTGGGGGACACCAGGATCCAGACTGTAGCAACACTAAACATCTCATGAGGCAGTGATAAGCTTCTTAGGTTGCCTGGTTGGCTGCCAGTCCTGGGGCTGAGCTGTGCCCGTGGGCAGGGATCTGGCTTCTCTGGGCCTCAGACTCTTGTCTGCAAACCTCTTGGCATCCTGACCAGCAACAGGTGCAGGTCGATTTTAGCCTCCCTGCTGGCTTTCCATCTTTCCCAGTTGTTACTTAACTGCTTGGCCTCATTTAATGAGTTTCAGTGAGTCAGAACATCAGACTAGAGATTTCTAGATTTTCACTCTAAACCTGGGAAGAAGAAAATGCCCTTTAAAGAGTCAGGGCGTTTGTGCTACAGAGCACAACTTTTGTTTGTCACTTTTTGTGGCATCTTTATTTGTTAATAAAGTAATCACAGAGTCATATGCTAAAGCACATTCCATCTTGCACTGGATTCGAGGCCAGATGGGTTCAGAAGCAACCTGGGAGGTGACACAGCAGATCCTGTCTGGTCACCTCTCCCCCACACCACCTGCACTTTGAGAAAGAGAATTGTGCGGCTCTTGGAGCAGCAGCCCCTGCTGGCTCCCAGAATGTGCAGGAGCAGGCCGGGCACCCAGGCCTGAGGGGGGCTGCCTGGCATTTTCACCGTGGGATCAGAATCGAGGAACAGTTGAGAGGGAATGAATGCAAGTCATTCAAAGCAAAGTGCGTGCAGGTTATTTGGGTTCAGAAAGACTCATTTAGAGGCAGAAGACTTGGGTTCAAGCCCTGGCTCTGTCCCTGTCAATTGCATGACTGTGACAAGTCACCAGTGCTGCCCACACTTTTATTTCCTTCTTTATGAAATGATGGGGTTGGCGAAATCCCCTCTCCTGTCCATGCAGCTGCTTAAAAACAATACATTCTTGTCCCTAGCGAGATTATTGGCCTCCCTGACCATGCGAATACTTACACTGCTCATCTCTCCTATCCCGCACCCTCGGTCAGGGTGCCAGTGACCTGAGCTGGTGGCACCCTCCACAGTGCCATCTGACCACAGAGGGCATTGTGGCAGCCCGGCTCTCCTCTGCTTCCCCACTCCCTCTTTCCCGGTGCTGCTGTCTGACTGTCCCATCGGCCCCACCGTAGTGCCCATCAGTCTGCTTCCCTTTACCTAAGTATTTGATGGTCCCAGCTCCACATTTCTAGACTGGGCCAATGGCAACCAGATGTGAGATGACCTGGTCAAGGTAGCTCCCTGCTAGGTATAAAGGATGACCAGGTTCAATTCCTTCTAGATGCTTGAAGCACCCTCCCATCTCCCAAGCTGTGACAACCTAAAATGTCCCCAGACATTGCCAGATGTCCCCCTTGGGGTGGGGTCAAAACCGCTTTGAGCACCACAGTTCTGTTGATCCTGGATCATCTGTAAGGGTAGAGCATACACTGCCAGCTTTGTGTGACTGTAATGAAATACCTGAGGCCGTAAAGAGAGAGACTTATTTTGTTCAGTTTGGAGGCTGGCAGCCCATGGGCCTGGCCTCTGATGAGGGCAGTGGCCGGTGCTGGTGGAAGCAGCTGTGGGAGCCAGTGGTCACATGACTCCACTCAACTGAGCACCTCTCACTAAGCACCACCTCTTAAAGGTCCAAGTGCCTCTCAATGTGGCTCCTGGGGACCCCCCTTTCCATAGGGACCTTTGTCGGACACTTATCTAAACTACAGCTGAAGGGAGCTTCTTTTGTTCTATAACAAAATATGTTTTTCCCAAAATACTTTTGTTATTTTGCCTTCTGCTTGCCTTCCATTGATTTACTCCTATTTTGGCAGGAGTAACTAAAAAAATAGCATACACCTGCTTCTGAAAAGTTCTTGTGCTTTAGTGAATTCTCCAATTTAGGGACATTAGGTTCAGGTGTTTTTGTAAGACAGGTGGAACTGTTTAGGGGAAAGCCAGTTGCATGGGCATCTAAGAAACCAAGGCTCAGGAGCCAGGACCCTGTTTTCTTGTTGAGATTCAGAGCTGGTTTAAGGCAGCTGCAGAGACAGTTGTAGCCAGCAGAGGTCGCTATCCACCCATGAGTGACTCATTTTCATTCTTTGTGCTTAAATCTTTCCAAGAAATCTTGATTGCTGTGAGCCACTTCTTCAGGTAGATATCATCCTCACGGCTGCTCTGTGGGGACCAGCACTGGGGTGCAGAAGGAGCAGGGCTCTGCAGAGGGGTTGGTTCACCCTGCCGGCCAGAGCCACTGTCTCTGAACGGACTCCGGAAGTACAGGATGCGGTCTTGGTGAGCAGGTGTTGTAGAAGCATGTCGCAGCATGTCACAGGTGAGGGGTGGGGGGACAGGAAAGGCACCAGTCAGAGCCACCGCTGTGACTTGCAACTGCAGTTGTGCCAAGGGAGAAAGACCTCCTGCCTGATCTCTTGCCTTGACCTTAGGGGCAATAGTGAAACAGCTATAAAGTTAAGTGCAAGCTAGAGCCTAAAGTAAGTGAGAGGTGTAACTAAGCTCGCATTACCTACCTGGCGTAGAGACAGCGTTCTCAAGGTCACCCATGAGCGGTGGTGGCGCCCAGAGCCCTGGACATGGACAATCCAGGAGGCCCTGACAGAGGCTTCTGGGTAAGTCACGGAACTCCTTAAATTAGCAGAGGACAATCCTCATAAAAGGGTAAATCTGATTTATCAGTTGGGCTTTTGTCGTTCTGTGAGCTAATTAACTGGTTAATTGATTTATTGAAGCCCTGATTGCTTTTTTCAGGGGGGATTTGGGCTATAATAAGGCATCTGTGACCCCACCCACACAGGGCAATAGTCATCTTCAGGTGTGTGGCTGGGGCTCAGCGTGAGAAGCTGGGACCATGGTCCAGGGCTGTTGGGACTGAGTTGGAAGCAGAGAGTGAGATGACATGGAGGTGGGGAGACAGCATTCGGGTAGGCTTAAGGAGGGGCATTTTCTTTTTAGAAGGTAGGAAGAAGTCTGAAGCTAAATGCATTTCTATATAGTCAAAGAGCACATTTGCATCCCCAGTCTCCCTTAAGCACCAGAAAAAGTACACAAGCTTGGGTTTGGGGAGGCTGGAGGGACACCGGCCTGTATGGTTGGAAATGTTTGTGTGGATAGGGAGGAGGCTGTAAGTGGATCCCCAGTTTATCGGTTGAGCAGAGTTTCCAAACATTCTTTTATTGGTCAGTGGCTCCACCAGCAGTGACCTCTGGCCTCAGCCACACTAGGAGGTGGAAGTCAGGAGCCTGCCTTGCCTTTGAACTCTTCTTTGTACTCAATTGACTAGCAGCCTTTGAGGTGGCAGGAACACTCACCATCTCCTTTCCTCTGCGGCCCTTAGCACTCAGGCTGAGTTAAAATGCCAATTTCTTTTCAGTCTCTGCTGCATCCCACCATACCCTCATGGTTTCCTGTTGAGTATACTGAATATCTGTGCTGCACAAAGTACCCGACGACACCGTGGGCTGATTAGCAAAAAGCCACAACACTTCTGTTTAACAAAATCCAACCCAGGCACGTGGTGCTTTCCCCACCAGGACCAGAGTTAGGTCTAGCTGTAATCCAGACAAGATCAGAAGGAGCCACTGAGCAACAAAATGTGTG